AGTAAGCTGCTTGGTGAATATAGTTCATACCTTACTTGCTTTTTCATTTCATGTATGCATACGTAGATGTTTTTTCCAAAGTAGTGGTTTGGGATTTAGAGTCACGCATACAAAACGCCTGTGCGCGCCCAGTCGTAACATTCCAGTAAAAAATTCTCCCTTCCTTCTAATAAAGGTCGATTTTCCCTTGGTGAGGCAGGAGATGACGGGATTCTGTCAAAAATGGTTATTTTCAGTTTGCCTCGACATCACACTGATGCCCAGAAAATATAAAAAATTTAAAAATGTTGACAACTAACACCGACATCACGGTCGCAGTTGTCATGTTGAAAGTGTTGTATTCTACTTCATAAGCAACCTCATGATCTCATAGCATGATTCACCCCGCCAAGGACTTGACCACTGTTGATCGTGGGGTCTTGCGACACAACTATACGTTTTTCATACCTAAACCTTTACCAACTCCATCAGTTACCCCTAGTAAACAAAAATAGGAACTTAGTTCAAAGTCAAAATCGAGTGCGGTTTCCACCACCCTAACCTTGAAGAAGATCCATTTCTGTAAGGTAACGCCTTCTTTATGGTCGCCCGCCATTCGCAAAATTTCACTATCCTAGGCAGGACGCATATCCAGATACCCTCCGGACCTTATACTAAAGATGTTAAACCCAATATGCAAATATTCCCGTCTAGGAATGACGACCACGCTTCACATGAACTGGTTTACTCTCATCCTCCAGCGTATTGCTTCCACAGCCGAATTCAAAATGGACCCCTAATACGAGTGTTGTTGCTGTGCTAGTAAATGCACCCCGTCCATAATGTTACCTCGGCGCGAATACGATGCAGTACCCAGCCTATTTATTTCCCGTAGAAACCCAGTCAGTTAGCATTAGTGATCAGTTTGCCTACCTGCCATTCCCATCCTCGTATCTATTCTTCTTTACCCACATCGACGATTTAGATGTCAGTGTATATATGCTCCGGCAAAGCTTTGGAAAACCGTTGTTAAGGACATACCCTGACAAAAATGTGCTTGTATTTTAGGTTAGACAGACAGCCATTAAGTAGAGTGTTATTGAATCTTTTTTTAAATGCCTAAACTTCCCTCATTAGAATACTCGAATTAGGTAGTTTGCTCCATCCTTTATCTGTCCGGTGAGAGAAGAAGTTGGCCCGTTCCCCATACTCGGCGTACTTTGCCTTCAATCTGTATTGGTAGCTTCAGAAATTTGTCGATTGTGCCGATTCAAAAAATCGGCCATTTGTAATGCACGATCAACTACACTGGCAAGTTTGAAAACCCCGACCATAGCCCTCTGTACCACCTATAAAAGGGGAAACTGTTTGAGCCTTTCTAGTTCTCCCTCATAAGGTAGGCACTTCAGTCCGCTGATCGGCTTGGTCGTCCATCGTTGGATGATTTCGAAATGAGTTTGGTCTTGTGACAGTTCGCGTCTCCTTGTCCTCCGACTTGGTCACGCTGCCTTCCCGTCCGCCTCACACTTCTTGTCGATACGCCACTGGGACGCGCGAGGATGGTCACTAGCCTCGTGCGTGCTCGAAGCCAATCAACGTTGTCCCTTCTCTGATTGGCTGGCGGACGCTGAGACAACGAAAGACGCCCACACGCGCCGGGTGTCAGCAACTCGAAGGCGCACACAGGCAGCACAACTAGCCTGGAAAGCGCGCTCGCGGCGGCTCCTTACAGAGCATTTGTGCACGCACTCCTACAGCAATAAACGTTGTCCAACTCGAACCGTCTTCCGTGACTTCTGATTTGGGAATCTTTTTCTTGTCAACCACACCACCTTTGACAGTCTTACTTCATCTTGGGGCATCTCACCTGAATGAACTATTCAAAAATATTGTAATAGGCGTAAGATGTTCCCATTCCAATTTCAGTTTGTTTGGTGAGGATAATAGGCAATGGTCTCTTCTAACACTATCGTCTACATGCCAGTGCAAAGTATAGACAAGTACAAGGATTTTTAAAAAGTTCTGTCATTGAAATAGTACTCGCAAAATGTTAGTAGCATTGCTTGTAAGAGAAACTCATGCCTGGAGTTGACGTAGCGTTTTGTTCAGATTCAGAGTGGCGAAAGAAAACACATATAATTACCCAAGTATTGCCCAAAGAGCTTGATGGACGTCGCCTCCACGACGGATTGAGAGAGACCATCCCATTGTTCTATTACTCGTCACGTGATAAATTCTGAACAGAGGTTCAGTCTGGGCATTTTACCGCGCAGTTTTATTGAGTGCCCAAGGAGATGAAGCGGTCGGCACCATTGACACATCCCTCCAAAGGGCGACCCTTGCTCAGGGCCATGGGTAATCTTGTAAACAAAGGTATTATCCCCCCGTCGCCTGTAACACAGGGGATATAAAATGCGGCATTCTAGTCTTCCAATGTAGGAATTGTATTTTACACCTGTTACCAATCCTGTCGCACAGTGGGGTACTTTCTTGAGAGATAGGTTGTCTTCAGCGAACGAAGGCCGCCACCCCTCTGTGCCATATTCTAGATGATGTCCAACGAAGGTGCCAAAGGCCTTATCAAAGAGACCTCTGTCGAAAGATACAAACGCCCGTTTGATAGCGTGCAGTACTCTCACGGCGATTTTACAGCCCTGGCACACTCCAGTGATGGCTTCATATTTCTTTATACCCAAACAAAGAAGCCGTTCCACAAAGAATCTATGGGGTATTGGGTGCCCTTCAGTTCAAATGATCCCATACTGTGGGTTGGATGGTAGCTAATTGGACACAGATAGAGTACGGTACACTTTTGCGTATTGAAGACTAGGAGCCACCCCTTGGACACGTTTGTAGTCTGCGCAGATTATTTCGAAGGACATTCTGGCCGTTCGCCCCTTATGATTCATCAGAGCTTAACGTCATCGACAGATAGCATGTTACCGCAGTTCAGTTCCGAAAGGCCGTCTTTCACATAAACAACAGAGACTAAGGGCCTCAGAACCGAGCCCTGAAGGACACCACCAGTCACGTCCACCCATTCCGACTTATCGCCTCCGATACAAACGCGTGTTCATCGAATAACCAGAAGTGCTTTCATCCAGTTCAGACGCTACTATCTCATACCAAGGGTGCTCACTTTATGCAGTGGCGCTGATGCAGCACAATGTCAAGAGTTTTGCATAAATCGATATGCACTACATCTGCTTCGAAGCTCTCTTCTGAAGTACTGGTCCAGACCTCAAGAGAAGTCAGCAGATTTGAAAGGCAGGAATGCCCTCTCCGAAAATTATGCCGAAAATCCTGCAAGACAGCACTTTCATCACAAAATTGTAATATAGCACGCTGTACAAGGACCTCTATCGTTTTGTGAGAAGGGTAAGTCAAGCTCATAAGCCTCAAGCTATATGCTGTAATTTTGCTCATTCAACTAGATGGCTGCAGTAAATTGACTGTCTTCCACTGCTAAGAAAAGCTTCCTGTCTTTATTGACATCTCGAAGAATGATGAACGAGGCGTTGCCAATTCTGTCGATAGTTCCTTCAGTACCAACTCAGAAATCCCATCCGGTCCAGGAGACTTGTCTAGTTTGAGTTGACTGAGAAATCGTCTCGCTTCTTGGACGGTAAAGGTAACGGTTTACATGACGACAACATTTCCATCCATTTCCAATTGCAGATTGTTTTCGGGGATCCCACCGTAAACGCCAGTCGAAAAAAACTGAGACAGTAGTTGTTCTTTTTGCGGTCCTTCGCTTAATGCGGTTCCGAGGCTATCCTTTGGACGAGCAATTTCATCTCGGTGCTCCCTCATATCGCGGATGTACCCATAAAACTTCTAGCTACACTTAACGGGTTCTGCTGTTAGTAGACGCTCGAAAACGGTTCTAGTAATCCATATTTGCTTACAATATTCGTTTCGTTGTTCTTTATATTCGGAACATGGTATGGGGTTTTGAAGATGCAAGTACTGTTTCCACTGCCTCTGGTTCTTCTTTATGATCCTTTGATCATCGGACGGACTCATGGATTCTCAGTGAGAATCCGAAACGTCAAGCGAATAAAGCCCTTGTTCTATGGATCTCTTCTTCTTATTATTAACTAGTTCCTGGAACTCGCATTTTCGCTTGTGCTGACAATTTGTTTGGGCGCGACGCGCTCCGATCGGCCTGGCGATGGGAAACTTTTGCCCTTCGGGAGGCCTCTACTTATGTGCAGATCCGGTTTCTGCACAGGTGTCTCCATAACAACGTGTTGCCGAAGTGGGTTTCATACAAACCCCCGATAAACACGGAGCTGGCGAGACACGCAGTATTTCAGCACGGAAGACGTATGATCCGCGTGCTCCTTCAAGATTGCCATGCGAGGCTTCGCGAATACCGTCAGAGAATTGACCAAGAGAAGACCAGATGCTGCGAGGTCCTGGGCGCGAACGGCACAAATCTGCTTCAGCAGAAGGTGAATGAAAGAGCCCGCTAGCAGAGGGCGACATGTGATTCAGCACTGAGGAAAAAATTCCACAAACTTCCTGATCCACACTGGCACACAACCTGTCGTCAAAGGAACTGACGAAGGAGCAAGTACAGGTTTTACTGCACAAAGCCCCATTAAACACAGCTGACATCAAACCTGTCAACATGACTGCAGCAGTGGAATCGGTCATTAATCAGAGGAAGCGGCGGAGGAGTCAAAGAACCTTATCCGACACCAAGTATCGTCCCTCCTTATGACTCACAAGCCGCGCGAAATACTCCCAAAGGTCGAACTCGATGCATTAAGAGAACTTAAGGCCGACAAGGACATCGTCATCGTGCCTGCGGACAAGGGCTTTCCACCGTCGTACTGGACAGAAAAGACCACCTTCAGAAGGCCAAAAACCTACTGGAGGATGGCCAGTTTTATACCGCATGTGAAACCAGCCCAGTAAAAACGCTGACACGCGAAATTAATGCGACATTGTTGGCACTGGATCACTCGGGTGCAATAACACTGACCGACCGACGCATGGCGAGAGCCCAAGAAATGGCCTTAGCCCGATTCTATGGTCTCCCCAAGGTGCACAAGGAGGGCGCTCCTCTCCGGCCCATTGTAGCGCTCAGAGGCACTCTAACGTACGGACGGGCAAAATGGCTGTTTCGGTGCCTCACATTTCTGACTGCTGATTCGGACTCCACCGTCAGTTCGTCAACACAATTCCTGGAGAGGCTTAAAGGAGTAAGTCTCTTACCAAATTAGATTATGGTATATTATGATGTCACGTCTCTCTTTACTTCTATCCCCCAGGATCTGGCAATGGAGACCTCGAGCTACTCCTACGAAGCAAATACAATGAAACGGAGAATCGTCTCGGACATGCCCCAGTCCTTCGGCTCCTAAAGTTCTGTCTCAGGACGTACTTCACGTTTGACATAACAATATACGAGCAGGTGAAGGGAACACCAATGGGCTCGCTGATTTCGAGATTCATCACCGAGGCGGTCCTACAGCGGTTAGAGTCGCTGGTCTTCCAACGTCACAGACCGGAATTCTGGGCTCGGTATGTGGACGATACCTTCGTTGTCATCGAACGGGATCAGGTGTTGACATTCCAAAAACATCTCAACGCCGTCTTCCCGGACATCCAATTTACAATAGAGGAGGAAGAGAACAACCAGCTGGCCTTCCTGGATGTCCTCGTATGCCGCAAGGATTGTGGTGGACTAAAGACCAAAGTGTTCAGGAAAGCGACAAATACGACGCAAGCACTGAATTTCAACAGTAACCACCCAATCGGCCAAAAACGCAGTTGTGTAAGGACGCTCTATCGGCGTGTCGAAACGCACTGCAGCGAACCGGAAGACGGGGTCGCCGAATCCCGATATCTTCGACGGGTTTTCAGAGAAAATGGTGCATGCGCAAACGAGACGAGCGACAAAATCCTGCCGATCCCAAATTCTGGTGAGCGATCCCGTATCTGAGGCCGTTAGTTGCCTTCTCGCACCACTTGGGGTTGAAGTTGCACACAGACCGGAGGTCACCATAAGGTGTCGGGTGATTAGACCAACAGACCCACTGCCACGGCAAGAAACATCTGGAGTCATTTACTGGATCTGGCGCAGTTGCGGACAAAGCAACTAAGTCGGAGAAACTGGAAGACTGCTCCCGACGCGAATTTCCGAACAGGCGGCAGCGGTACGGAGAAATGACGCCAGCTCTCAGGTTGCGGCCCATTCGACGAGACCCGGCCACACATTCAGGTTCGATGAAGCCGAAATTCTCGCGAGGGGAATAATCGCGTGAGCCGCGAGTTGACTGGGTCATGCTTCCCGGGACCTCAGTCTAGCAACTAGTGCAATGACATCCCCACTCCATATTCCCTGCTGAGGCATAGGCTGACCAAATTAATTGACCCCTTGGGAGCGCGCAGGCCGGTGAGCCAGATGGCCGGATAATCACCACGCCAGCATCGAACACGGGTGATGAGATTTCAGCAATTAACAACTTGCATGCCGACCATCAAGGAATTAGCGCACCAGCGGGCAACAATTCTTGATGAAGGGGAGAGTGGTCGATTACCATAGGTATGCGGTAGCATAGTGACTGTATCCTATAAATACTTCAACTTCCTGTGCACGAGTTACCCTTTTCTGACACTGTCTCTGATGATGGGTTCAAATGAGAATCCGAAGCGTCAGGCGAATAAGGCCCTTGTCCCAGCGATCGCTTTTTCTCCTTCTTCTTCTTCTTCTTCTTCTTCTTCTTCTTCTTATCAAAGCACGTATAATTCAGTGCATGGATCTCATTGGCTTTTGCAACGACATTTTCCATCATTAGGATGGAAACATATTAAAAGTTTCACGGTCACCTAGAGCTTTGTGCACATCAACATACGTGTTTTTACCTCCCAGTCGTAAGGCTGCATATTTAGAAACATTGGGCGTTATAAATAAATAATTTTTTATTAAAGACCCGTCGGGGTCCCATCAAAGCAAGTAAAAATAAATTTACTTACAATTTTAGACGAGGGAGGCAAAATCTGTACAGAATGCAGTTCATAGTTTCTGAGTTTGTAGTCCGTTAAGAAAAAATGATGAGCGAGCGGTGAAAAAAAACCACTTAAAAAGTTTATAATGATAAGATTAATTTAACAGGTGAAAAACCTCGCTAATAATAACACAAAAATACGGGTAGAACTGGCCTGCATGTGGCGGTATGTAATGGATAATAATCGGACATCGTCAGGGCAGAAATAAATGTCAGCCTTGAGAGGTACGTATGCGGGTCGAACAGGACTGGCCTGCATGTGGTATTGTATACGGGGTTCAGAACGGACATCGTAAGGGCAGAATTGATACGCCGAATGAGACTATTCGCGTCAAAGAGGCCAGAGGAGAGGAACCCAGACGCGATTGGCCGCAGTCCGCTTTGCGCCCAGCCGAGGAGTGGGCAAGGGGGGTACGACCAAACTACTAGTAGACGGCGAATACTGAGGGTTCCGCAGTGAGCGTCGACAGACAGCATGAGGTCGAAATGCGGGAAATACAGTATAACGTAGTATTTTGACTTTGTTAATATTAACAAGGAATTAGTAAATAACTTTACAAGCACTCCTGATTGGCACAATATTTTTTCAAACAATGATCTAAATTGTTTCAACATTTTATTACAATGCGTTACAGAGGGTCTTCTTGACCTTATTCCTCGTAAGATGTTCAAATCGAGTGCTAATTCCATCGCAGTCCCACACTTTCTTAAAAACAGACTTAAAAAGCTACGGAAGCAGTTTAAAGATCCTTCTATGAGCTCATTATCAGTTCATCTAAGAATCGTTGAAATATTTGAATTAGCTTCGAAAATGAGGCTCGGGCGAGATAGGCGTGGAGAGTATTTAGCTATTAATGACGTGAATGCTTCTAAATCAGTTGCTCAGATCTTCCGTCAAAGATCATCTGCTAAATCCCACCAAGTCATTCCGCCTTTGCTTAGCACCAACGATGCCTTAATTACAGAGGAGTCAGGCAAAACAGAAATGTTAAATTCATTCTTTGCCAAACATTTCACCATTGAATCTGATCCAATCCCTTTAATTCCTCCTTTGTCTGATGCTTCTCTTAGCATCATTAATTTTTCTCCTGAATGTATTTCAACCTCTCACTCAGTAGGTACGGACAATATCCCAAAGTCTCTTATAAAACAGCTAAGAGATTTTCCTCCTCTATTTAGCAAAATATTTTCAGTATTTCTCGTAAATGGCTTTTTCCCTGACTATTGGAAAACTTCTATTGTTATTTTAGTATTTAAGTCTGGCTGTCGTTCTGACATTCAGAACTATCAATGTGTCCATAAAACACCCACTTACGCCAAAATCTTTGAAAAAACGCCTTAAAAATTACCGACTTTCGCAAAGCCAATCAAGTTATTAGTCCCTCCCAGCATGTTTTTTACCAGATCGCTCTTTTGAAACATGTCATCTGTCGTTTCTCAATCTGCCTACCTCTCTTCGTAGTGACCATCTATCTGTTGTCGTTATTTATTTTGATCTTAGTAAAGCCTTTGATAAAGTGCCACATAAAAGACTCTTGGTTAAATTGGAAGCTATGGGAATTCGCAGTCCACAAATAGACTTTATCAAGTCATACCTGTATAATCGTAAACAAAGGTTTCAGTGGGATCTTCACTTTCCAGTGAAAGCCCTATTGTAAGTGATGTCCTACAAGGCACCGTGTTAGGTCCTCTTTTGTTCCCGCTTTACATAAATGATATCTCGGCAGTAGTTAAACATCCTGAAGCATTTATTTATGCCGATGATCTCAAATGTGTATATTCTTTTAATAAATCTACGAGCCTTCATTGCCTGGAGCAAATCCATGCTGACTTGCTTGCTCTCTCAGCTTGGAGCTCAAAGTGGCCAATGGAATTCTCTCCGTCTAAATGTCGCTATATGTGTTTTGGTCCTGATAGGCTACCCCAACCAGTGGTCTTTCAAGGCCCACCTATGACTGAATGTACCACTATCAAGGATTTAGGTTTAAACTACACCAACAAACTTGATCTCTCGCCACACGCAAACAGAATTACAGCCAAAGCTGCCCAGATATGCGGTTTTATTTCTTACAATTTCTATCTTCCTGAAATTAAATTAAGACTCTATCGAATTTCGGTACTTCCCATTCTCGAGTATTGTTGACCATTCTTTGGTTTGATGAATGAGGCTTGTCGTTTAAAAATTGAAAATGTCCGAAGACGATTTCTAAAAAACTTTAAGATAGGGAACATCTACATATCTCCTACTCAGATAGATGCCAGCTAATTAACCTAAAACTTTTATGGGTTAAAAGACTGGAGGCAGACCCTTGTATCCTCTTTGTCATTAATACTAGTTCAAATCGTCCTTGGATTTCAGCATTTACCCCTAGTAATCGTTCATACAATCTTCGCAACTCTTCCCTGAGTATACCTCCTCCAGCATCCTCCACCTCTAAGTGTTCTCTATTTTTCGCTTCCAGATATACTTTCCTCTGGAATGACCTTCCAATAAGTATAAGATCTTCAGATAATCTACACACCTTTAAGAGAAGGCTACGCACTTTTTTGAATACTGACTCGATTAAACTTTCATTTTCCTCATCCTTCCCAGACAACTTTCTCTATGACACTGAGAAAGGGCCATCGGGAATTTAGGACGCCGCCATTAAATTTCCGTATCTGCTCGTATTTCCTTCTTTTGTGAGTCGTATATCTTCCTAAGATCCCTCACCAGAAATGTTAATTTTTCGATTTTTCGGTTCATGCATCGTGCTCTCACAGAATGCGCTCCATCGACGCTCTTGGCGAAGCCTTCTGTATTCGCCATATACTAGTAGTCTGGTCGCATCTATCTTGCCCCCTCCTCGGCTGACTGTGACCGATTGCACCTGGGCTCCTATCGCCTCGAGACTGGTTTTCCATTCGCATTTTTACATGAATGGTCTCATCCGGTATATAAATTCTGCCTTGATAATGCCCATTTTGAACCTTTTACTCAAGGTCACATACAGGTCAGTCCTGCCTGAGCCGCCCACTTACACCCTCATGAAATCCGTTATACAATGCCATATACAGGCCGAACTTGCCTGCTTTTTATACATTAAGGAGCTAGAGTTTTTTTTCTCCCATAGTTCTAGTCGAATCAAACTCATTTTATTTATGTTAGGAGTTTTTTTCACTGCTCGCTCAGCATTCTTCGTAACATACTGCTTATTCAATAACTATGAATTAAGCACTGTATAAATTCTGTATACCTCGTCTAAAATTCTAAAATTCATGTAAAATTTATTCTTAATTCTATAATAGGACCCCCACGGGTCTTGAGTAAAAATTATTATAATTATTATTAGGGGCGGACTACGGCTACTTATAATACTACTTCTATTCCTACTACCCATGCAACTACGACAACAAATGTTACTACCATATATGGTGTATTTAACACGCAGTACCAGTACGAATACCGCCAGTGCCAGTGTTACCGCAAATGAAGTGGAAAGTAATGCCAGCGAAAATCACTGACAGCACCGTAATAGGGAAGTCTGACACACTCAACTCAAAAAGAAATGAGCAAAAAGAGAATTAAGAAAACATGACAACATTTCCGTTTGGGCGAGCTGTTTGAATTCGACTGGATTTGCTCGTCTTCCCACGTTTTGACATTTCGGACACCCGTCACTGCCCAGACTTACGCCTCCTCAAAATAAGACGGGAAATCAACTTAGAAGTGCAATTAACCTTCGTTTCCGCGGATCACACTATCAGCGATATCTTCATCCCTAACAATAATGAAAATCAATTCTAAGCTAGACTGTCGTCATTCACCCCTTACTGCAATCTGAGTAGTTCCCGGGACCCATAGACCTCACGTCGTTGACAGCGCAGATGACTGCGCGCAAGTCAATCGGACGACGCGCTTGCCTTCGCGCGAGCGGTCTGTCACACCATTTCC